TATATTTTATTTTATTTTTTTTTTTTTTACTTCTTTTTACGCGAATTTGGCAAGTCGGGCAAAAATTGTACTACTACACAGCGGATGCTTTTTTTTATGTTGTTCACGTTGTTCGTGTTGTTTCCTTTCCTTTTTTTTTTCCTCGTATTTCTGACATAATCTATATCTATATACGTATATCTATATGTATATGTATATANTATATATATATATATATATATATATATATATATATATGCGTATAGACCTAATCGATATAGTTTAATTCAATATAATACATCTATATAATAATGGTAAGATAGAGCGAGTAAATCGATTGGATGTCAATGAGGAGGAGAAAAATGATCTGGGGCAAAGATGGAAGGGAATGGGAATAAGGGATAAGGATGTGAGTGAAAGAGAATAAGAAAGCATTATGAATGTTATTATGATATGATTACGCGTCAATTATTTTGGAATAATATTCTATAACAACGTAGATGTCATTAGGTTGCTTAAAAAGATAAGCCGAGAGAAAGCTTCGTATGTGGACGGCGCCCGCACAGTTTTTTTTTTTTTTATTTTAAAAAAATTTCTCGACTTACGACGTTGATCCTTTTCGATTTCTTACTCGAATGATTTGGGAACGCGAGACACGTTCATCTGCGATGTGCTACGTTTTTATTCAATCTCAATAAAATTAACGTCAATTTCTGTAACAGGCGATCCCGATAGACACTGGGTGTCTATAAGGGAACATAAAAGTACTCGCAACAAAAAAAAAAAAAAAGAAAAAAAATATATATATATATTATAATAATAATAATAATAATAATAATAATATGGACAATCAACATAGATGCTTACAAAACGAGAAAACAACGGAAACGATGCAACGAAAACGATGCAACGCGAACAACTTGCAACACGTAACATGAAACACGTTAAAATTGTCAACGAAAACTTTATTAATGAGATTATAACTAGAAACAACAAGAGAACGGCGCACGCAGATGAGGCGCATCTTTAAGACTTTCATTTAAGAATAAACGAGCAACGATTTAAAAAAGAAATGTAAAATGAAGTGGATCGAATTAATAGAAAAAGCGGAAACACCTAGGTTCCCAAATCGTTCGTTTAGTCGACATATTGGTTTTCTCAAGAACGAGAAACTCGTCTGAATACGCGTTACATCCAACTACGAGTTTTTTTTTTCTTTCTTCATTTTTTTTTTCTCTCTCCCTTCTCATTTCGAACTGCAATCATTAACGATTAAAGACTTAATACATTACGTATGTATATAATCGCTACAAATCTCACCATTGCATTTACTGTACAAACTTCTAATTTAATAATGATAATTAATTATATTTAGTACGCGTTACGTATATCCCTAATTTGTCGGACGTATCGGCGCCGCCACTTCTGCTAACCCGTTTTCTGGCCGACCGCGTCACTTAAAGTCGTTTTAAAAAACATCTGTTTTAAAAAACAGACTTTGTACGCGAACACTTGTAACATTCAAAATAAAAACTATGCTATATAATAATAAAAATAATAAAAATAGTGTCGACGAATAATATTATCAATAATAATAATAATAATAATAAAAATAATAATAATAATAATTCGTAAATAGAGTCACGTGTAAAGCTTTTCTACAAATAGTTACATCGATTCTAGGGACTTTTTTCCATCGGTAAAAAAAATTCTCCCTCATTTCTATTAAATTTCTTCAGTTCCCTTTTTCCTTTCATTTCTTTTCGTACAATATTTTTTTCTCTTTTTTTCTTTTTTTTTACGTATACATTGAGCCGAAGAAAGATTCAGGCGCAAACGTGCACCTTCCTTTTTCCCTTTCCGTTCAAACTGCCGACAGAAGAACAGAAATATCCTTTTTTTTTTTTAAAAAAATTGTAGCACACGAAATGCATCACGAATTGCGCATGCCCAAATCGCGGCCGCTTGCGATTATCGCTAACTCGTTAAATTTCGTAACTAAGATATTACATGGACCGGAACCGATATACGACTTGTGTATGCATCGACATTTTTCCTCGCACAATTTTTTTTTTCTTTTGCTTTTCAATTACTAAACCCACGCGCGCCGATTCTCCCTTCTCTGAAGAAGATACAGTCGTGTCACTAGAAGTCACAATAATACCGCGTTATTTCGTACATACACGCAGCGAAACGTGTAAGGAGACACATACCTGATAAATTCAAATTGTAAGCACGTTAGACGCAGAAACGTTAGAGTAGAAACGAGGATTGCAAACAGAAACGGATTTTCGAAGAAATGAAACATTTATCACGCGAAAGCAAGTACGATTCGTTTTTTAATTTCTTCGAAGGATATCGAGAATTTCGCAATTTAAACATTCATCACAAGTCACGATTTTTCATAGGAAATAGAGCAATGCCTGTAGATTCTGTAACCGAATCTATATATTTATTCAATGAGATAATTTCTACAAAATCCTCAATACAGTGTATATATTATTCGTTATAAACTCACAGTTCAGGAATAATCGTGAGCTAACTAAGGACACGAAATTCTAACTTCACTTTATCTCTGTGACGATCGTCGTTAAAAAATGACAGCCAACGAAAAACGAAGAGGGATTCAAAGTCAAACCATTTAAAGAAATTTATGATGTACTGAAATTATTCGCTTCACTGAATCCAAGGAAGACCTTGGAAATGGAGAGGCTGTCGATATATCTACAAAAAAGCTCGAGAATATAACGAATAAATAGATGCAGGTGTCTGAAATAACAATAACAATAAAGATAAGTTTCCAAAATTTATAAAATTCAGCAAAGATAAAAATGATCGTTAAAACGAGCACTACTTAGAAAACGAATAAATATGCAGGTGGCTGAAATAATAATAACAATAAAGATCAGTTTCAAAATTTGGTAGAAATAGCAACGAATGTTAAAGCGTTACTTGAAAAACGAATAGATAGTGCAGGTGGCTGAAATAATAATAACAATAAAGATCAGTTTCAAAATTTGGTAGGAATAGCAACGAATATTAAAGCGAGCATTACTTGAAAAACGAATAGATAGTGCAGGTGGCTGAAATAATAATAACAATAAAGATCAGTTTCAAAATTTGATGAGAATAGCAATAGACATTAAAAACAATATTACTTAGAAAATGAATAGATAGTTAAGAAATAATAATGAGAATAAGGATCAGTTTCACTTTCAAAATTTGTTGAAGTATAGAATAACAACGAACAGTTAAAGCATTAAGACACTTAGAAAAAGAATAATAAAGATAAGCAAGAAAATAAAGAAAGAAATTAATAATTCAAACATTCGAGCAAACGAAATTCAAAGTTTCTAGAATCATAAAAAAATATGCACGTGTCAATTCTCTCAACAGTCATCAGTCAACGGTTGCCGTCGTCATCATCGTTGTCATCGTCGTCGTCGTCGTCGTCGTCGTCGTCGTCGTCATCGTCGTCGTCGTCGTCGTCGTCGTCGTCGTTGTTGTCGTCATCGTCGTCGTCGTCGTCGTCATCGTCACCGTCGTCGTTGGTTGCATTCGTTAAACTGCATTATTAATTGTAATTTCTTTCTCGCCAACTATACATGTAATTGTATTTTCTATTCCTCTTAAATGTTTCATTTCTTTTCAACCAAATCATATATCTTATTATTGTATTATTACTTTACGCACATATTATATTTTTATTAATTCTACGCCGTTCGCGTAAACTAATATTTTTTTTGTTCTTTCTTCGTTTTCATCTATCCTGTTTGTTACATGTTGTTACATCCTGTTTGTTAAAACACATCATTATGTTTACGGTATGCAGAGGTATAACATTTCGCTATGTGGAAGTGTCGAAGTCGAGGAAGGTGGCGGAGGAATTAAAGGGGGCAAGAAGAGATGGAGATAATTTACATGAGTTAGATCTCGTGCGTAAACTCGCATGCTCAGCTTAATCGTTATTTTTTTTTTTTTTATGTACGGCGATATTTATATATAATAGTACTTTAGGTAATTAGCAGTATATTATTAATATGAATACGGTTTATCATTCATTCTCTCTTTCTATCATTCTTCCTTTTTCTCTGTTCCTCTTTCGCACAATATTAGTTTTTCTTAGATTTTTCCTTAGATTTCTAAAAACGATGCAATTTCACCTTGATTACGGACGTCTATTTATTTTCTTTTCTTTTTTTTTTTTCGCTATTTAATAGTAGTTGCTCTAGCCGGTCTAAAAATTTTTCCTTTCTTCCCTTCGATTTAATAAAGTCTTATTTTTTTTCTTTCTTATTATTTATCTTTTTTTTTTCGTAAATTTTTTTTCCTCATTTCTTTTTTTCTATTAATTGTTTGCTTTATAACGTGACTTTTATATTTACGTACATTATACGTATTCTAAGTTTAATTAATTATTTTTCTTTCTTCACGATACAATTATCAAAATTTTTTTCTGTTTGTTTGCTTGTCCTTACAGTACAACAGATTTTCTTTTCCAATTGTTCATATATATATGCATATATATATATTTTTATATAACATACTCGTAGTTTTTAATAATATATAATACGGTACTGTGTACTATGATTTTATATCGTAAATAGATAGTCATTCAACGATTCGTACAACAGATTCCTTGCCTTCCTAGAAAGCAAATCTATGATTTTTCTCTTGGTCGAATTACGTATATGCGTTTTTATCGATATTTCGACGATTCATCGCACTTTTATCATACTGTTTCCTTGAATAAACTCCTTAACAATAAACAATTCTTCAATTTTTTATAAAATTTAACGATTCGCGCTAAAAATCGCGATACAACAAAAAAGAAACAAAAAAGAAAATATTCAACAAAAACATTCTAATTCAACTTATTCAACGTAATTCAATTTATTTTTCGATGAGAAAAGTTTGAAAAATCCATTCTCTCTCTGAATATTAGATCAAATGACATAGATACATAGATATATAAAATACATTTACGATAACTTTGAAAACCATCAATCACCATTTGAATCATCGAAAAGACAGAGGAATATTTTGTACGAATCATATTTAACGGGGAAGAGAAAAAAATAATTAGGTAATAATTTATATAATCTGAAGTTCTGTAATTTTTCTCTCGATTTTTCTTGCTAGAGTCCTCTTTTTTTTCATTATGAATTCTACGTAAGTAAATAGCAACAACGGCTTCTATATCTATAGAAAAAAGTCTACCCTGACACCAAATTACGTATTTAATGTACTAAGAGTGAGATACTCGTCCAATGTGTCTTTATAAACATTTTTGTATCATGTTTAAAAGTTCGTTCTCTCTCATGTGTATTTCTATTTTTATTCTTTCTTTTTTCCACTCTCCCAACTTCTTTTCCTTTCTTCTTTTTTTTTACGATCACTTGTGCGTTCGAATTGTGGTTGCGAAAAGACGTCGTTGTCCCGTGATGTTGGACAAAAATATGGCAAAGAAAACACGAAAACAAAAAAAAGTTTTTCAACAATCTCGATGCTCGATTTAACATGGCATCGATATAACTACGTAACACTACGTAAAATTAACATAGAAAAATTTACAAGAATTAACATCTTATCGCGAATAATATTTATAAAAGAGAAGAAAAAAAAATATGACAGGAAGAAAGACAAAACAAACATAGATGAAAAATTAAATTCTCTTAAAATGAATATCAAATAGAGAACGATCATAGATCGTTGTTTTCGCGACGAGAATTAAAAGATAAAATATTCTCGCGATAACGATACGATAAATTATCTTAGATAATATGGAAAACGTGCTGCTTTCATACAAGTTATCTTGTATTAGTAAAAGCCTTTAGCGATACCTTTGCGCGATATCCTCTGAGATCTAACTGAAACAATAAAATGAATGTGGATGTGCTCATCGACGAATCAGGTCCCTCCCGAAACCGATAATATTACCTGAATTTCAATTTTCAACTCGAAACACTCGCGCCAATCACGTAATATCACGAACGATGTTTCGATCGAAGAAATATGCGGAGAATTATCTCGCTTCTTGCTTTATATCACGATTACAAGTCTTTTCACACACATTCTAAAAGAGTATATTCACTTGTTTCTTTTGCACACACTATAGTCATCACTGTATAATCACTATTATTCGTATTCGTATCAAAACAGAGAAAATGATATATCGATACGAGGAGTTGTTAAGAGGTTAAGCATCCATGACAGAAATAAGCAAGCAACGCTTGATGAAACGCCCTCTGTACGGTATATGTGTATTTATTCATTGTAAGCTCACGGCTCAGTATCACGGCACATAACAGCTATGGATATGAAATTCGATCCTCGTTTAATCTCTAACGGCTACGAAGGTCGCAAGAAAATGACAGTTGATAAAAGACAAAGAGAGATTGAAAACCCAAGCATTTAGAAAATATTTGTTTGGTATGATATTACTTGCTTCATCGACTTTCTTTCCAGTAGTGGAAATAAGAGTTATTAAGTTGGTAAGAAAGTTTCGAATATATAACGAATAAATATTGTATATCGTATCATTTTTTGAGATGGCTTTTTGTAAAAAAAAGTTAAAAAATGATCGATTGATCAGTATTCATGTCTTCTAATTTTAAAAATTTTATTTAGTGATACGTAATGGTGATTTCATGCAAAAGAAACAAATGAATACACACTTTATTCGTGTTTGTTAACTCGAGGACGCCTCATCACTCGTCGTGGTCTGTTAAATTTCTTCGTAAAAAAATAAATTTCCGCGCTTCGGCGTTCCTCCTAAATAATACTTCGTATTAATTAAGAGGAATCAACAATAATTCGATTCCAGAAAAAGAGATAATTTATTTTTAAAATATAATTACCAACAGGAGCAACGACGCATACTATATTAATTTCCAAACGTTTCGTGAAAGAACATGGGCGATCCGGGTCAGAGAAACGTACATATAAAAAAAAATTAAAAAATAAATATCGTAAAAAGAAATAAAATAAAAATAAAACATTCGCAATGAGTTCAGTTAGAACGATTAAAGGATATTTACGTCAGCAAGTACAGATCTCGAATTACGTCAGAAACGATAGAAGTATTTAACGGTAGCGATATTAATTTGCCTAATTACAACACGAAGTTTCAAAGAGGCAATCGCGAGTATAAACCATGGTTAATTAAGTCTGGAAAAGGAGCTTGGCAAAATGGCATCGATTTGTATCACTAAATTCCTCTCTCGAGGAAAATCGAAGTCGGCCAGCGGCATGAAATTGCTCGTGAGCGTACGCTTTAATGCATGCGCCACTGGTTTCGTTACAATCGGGTAAAAATATCCGAAGAAGGTATCTGAAGTCAGCAATCGTTCGAAAAATACGTTCCATCGTGTTTCAAAGAGTCGAGAAGAGTCGAGAATTCTTACGATCTTTTTTCGAGCGAGACTAATTGTAACGCGAATCGTGTTATCGGTTCATTCTTAAAGAATGAGCTATCGAACCTTCTTGTAAAATCGTGAGATTAGATCTCTAACCTTACATATCGATGATAGAGAAATTCTTCGACTGAACTTTTTTTGTTTCGGATATTTCGAAGAAAAATTTTACCAAGGATAAACGTTTCGATATAAGGAAAAGAATAAAAGTGATGGATAAAGAATGGAATAATAGATTGGAATTGAAACAGAGAAGTATATGGAAGATCAAGCCCATCATCGTCCATGTTCCTCAAAATGGCGAAGAGCAACGAGTTTCGTGTCCTCTTTTTCCCTCCTTTTTTCGATCATTCACCGCAATTACACGAATTCTTCGACAGCCTCGTTTAATTATTCCCTACCACTACGGTTTCTTCTCTGTTGATATTAATTGATCGTCTCGTCGACGCTGGCGTACACGAGTCTTACATGTACAATACAGTGGTATTAATCCTTCGGTTTCTTCTCGTTTGAGTTAATTCTAGTTCTCGTCTAGTTCCCGCGATCGTTGGCTCTTCGTATGTGGCAGTTATCACGCCAACTTAATCATTCCCGCTGTTCATCGCTCGGCAATCGCGATGACTCGTCGCGCAGCGCGTTCCATTAAACAATTATTACATTATACGCTCTAGGAATCAGTCACAGGCTAGGTCCTTCTTTTTGGCCCAGCCAAATAAGTACGTAGTGTATAATTTTTTTCTCATTTTTTTTTTTTTTTTTGAGGGTATGCTTTTCGCTTTTTCTACACGCTCTTCTCTCGTTCACGTCTACGATTAACTTCTTCGGTTGTATTTGTTTCACCTCCTTTCTTCCTTCATAAAAAAACAAAAGAGACAGACAACTTTAAACATCGTCGCGCGTCTTTCTCGGTTCCCTCGTTCCCTCCACCTATCTTTTTTTCTTTCTATATTTTCTGCCTCTTATCGACATCTAGTCTCGTTGTTAGACACAATGGCATACAATGCATCGTTGTCGTTGTCGTGTCCCCAAAGTCGTATTCCGTTTCTTTCGTAAAACCATCGTCCTTTTGTTTCTTCCGTTTTTTTTCCTCACTTGATATAAAAAAAACAAGAGAACAGAGATCACTCGATGAGATCCTCCTACGCAAGAAGAACACCTTTTCGGTCGAAGAGCAGGAGGAAGAAGACCACGGACAATTCCCAGGTGGCGTCTTCGTCGGTTCGCGCGGGAAGAGTAAGAAGAGGGCGCCGCGTTCGGGCGGTTCGAGTTGCGGTTAGTTCATTTCTAAGGTCCTCTACACATTTTGACCGACCTCTCTTACCAGCTATGTCGCTTCGATGTCTGCGTCTAGGCTGCGTCCAGTCTCTTGTTTCTTCTTTAAAAGAAAGACAACCGGCTTAGCAAAGTTTCCTATGTGGGCACTTTACTGACCGCCTTCAGAAGATCACTCTGTGTCTTGTCGAGACCGCTTACGTGATGCTGTTGCTGATGCTGCAGGGCCGCATTCTGTTGCTCCTGCTGCATCTTGGCCTGCTTTTCCGCCTGCTGCTTCTTCATCATTTCCTGCTCCTCGCGTTCCCGCCTTGCCTGCTCGTTGATTTCTTTCACCGCCCTCAATTCCTTCTTCAGTTTCATCCGCCGATTCTGAAACCAGATCTTGATCTGTCGTTCCGTCAGACAGAGAGCGTGCGCGATTTCTATTCGCCGCCGTCGCGTCAGGTAATGGTTGTAATGGAACTCCTTCTCAAGCTCGAGGGTCTGGAACCGTGTGTACGTCTGCCGACCCCTACGCCTCGGACACCCGTTCGGTCCTGGAAATGTCAGAAACGCAGATTTGCCTAGGTTAGTTTTTTTATGTAGGATGATTTGAGTTTTTTAACCCTTTGCACTACCACAGTCAACTCTATGCTTACCTCTCGTTGAAGATACAGTGACTCGTGAAAGTATTTATACACTGGTATAGGAAATTTTTACAAATATGTATATATGTATAATATATATATATATATAAAACTTTTTAATATATCATCAACACCATAAATACAACAAATTTAAAGATGGATCTACTAATATTTATTTATATAAGAATGTTTAATTGATAATTCTTATATATATTTTCGGATTTATCTCAAATTTTATTCATATATATAATATTTCCTTATCTTTTTTACAATGTTTAAATACTTTCGTAGTCACTACATATAAAATATAACATGGGATAATTGAGTAAAATAATCGATTTTGATTGAGAAGAATTTGGAAAAAAATAAGTTGACTGTTGGCTTAGTGTAATAAGCGCTTAAGAAGTGCAAAGGGTTGGTTGAATAAATAATATTCAATCAGCTATACGTTTCCAAATAAAAGTTTGACTTCGCTGATGCAGAGGAGTTCGATTATGAAGACGAATTTCATTGTTAATCCAATTATTGAATTCGATCGTTAATTTTATAAATCTCATCACGGATCTTGTATGTTTCGTGACTTTACAATGAATGTAAGAAGAAAAGAGATTATACCCCGATTATAAACGACGTTTTCTTCGTTACGAAAAATTCAATTTTTTTTCGTGGAATAATCTACGTTTCGCTTGTCCACTCACAAATCTTAACTCTCTCCACGCTTTCTCTTTCAGGGAAAAAAATAGCACTTTCGGTTTATTGTAGGGGTTGAACGAGATAAAAAAAAAAGGGGAAGAGTAAAAAATAGAAAGTTTGGAAAAAGTTTCTCATGTCTATTGTCGTGAAAAAGAAAGAAAGAAAAAAAGAAAAATTGAACCCTTTTCGTGAAATACCTTTTCGACCAACTTTCTCCAGACCTAGAAAGTCAAAGTCGTAAAACGGGGTACACGCAGGACACAGTTGAATTTTTTATGGTGTTTAGGTAACTATCGAACTGCATAGCCACGCGCTAACCAGGTAAAAAGACTGGTGGTGCTTGTCATCTGGCTCGTGCCTGAGTATTCTTAACCTTGCTTTTAAAATCATCTTAGCTACATCATATTTGATCTCATTTTTATCAACAAAACCATACGAATACGATAGAAATATTTTTACAAAAGAAAAAATTAAAATTGTAATTTTATATAAATTAATTACATTTGAATGGTAAACAAGAATTACCAAAGTGAAGTATCGAATTACGAAGGTGACCGACTTCATGCTGATCGTTTCATCATGGAGTGGGGATAACGACTTACGAAGCCACTCTTCCCTCGAATATTTCCGTTGAAGTAATTGCAAACTTGACTTTTTTATCCATCTTTGCTGAAACTTTTTCACTTTCCACCGGGTTAAGTAAATATCTTAAGAAATCAAGCGAGTAGAGACTTAAAGTTTCAAAAAAGTATATACAGTTTGGTTATTCGCGGCTTATATAGCGAGACATAGGGGTAAGATGGCCGCGAGTTGCGCCATAGAAGCTCGATAAACTTCTCACGGGCAATTTTCGCAATTGGCTCGAACGTAATTTTACTTTCGGGCCGGTGGTGCAAAAGGGTGGGCTCGCGTTTTCAGTTCGTAGCTAAGAAACCGGTTCCCTGGGCGCAATGAGCAGTCGGCCATAATACCATCATTCTTGGGAAGACGCTGAGTGGCCATATGATTGCCTCGTGATGAAGCAAATACGCGGCTACCGGCCAATAAAAGATAGCGAAAGATTTCGTGTTCGATACGTGTTCTCATCGGAATCACATTACTTTCATAAACGATTAGTAAATGCGGCTAACTTCAACTCTGATAAAATCTTTAACAGTATTCTTGAATCTCTATCTTTCACAACAGAATTTTATGGAGGAATTTGAATAGAAAATAGAGAGATCTAAATATCGAGTTTAGAACGTTTATAAAAATTCTTTAATTTATAGATTTTTGAATTTCAAAATTCTTTCTTCGAAATAAAATTCATCTCCTCCCTATTCTCTTCGGAAAAATAAACACGATTTTTCATAAATTCTCGCGAAATTTTGTACTCCATTTCCTCCTTCAAATATACTTCAAGAAATTTTGACACTCGATAAGAAGCAGCCAGTGACACGCGACACACACGACTCATCCGTTCATCATCGTCTAAAGCCGTGCAAAAAAGAAAAAAAAAAAGAGAACGAGAGAAAAGAAGCAACAGAGAATGCAGAGAATGCTGATAGTGAATTCAGCATGGCCGTTCGTAACAGTGCGGGGTCCAGGATTCACTGGATGTGTATGCATGCGCGGATGTGTATGTGTGCACGGTCAACTCACACGCGTTGCTGAATTTTTCTATCCGTGTCCTCTCTCTGTTTCTGTGTAACAATGCGTGTGATGCGGGTAACATGGTTTTCCATGGTTGTGTGCGTGAGTTTAACTCTAGCCAGCACCACGGCCGGTGCAGCCACAGGGTGGTTGCCGAAGCTGGAGGGGTGGACCATAGGTTACCTTGGCAACCAGAGGGAAAACCATTCCATCCTGCTGGCGGCATATCATGCCAGGGGCGAGTCAAGCAGCCAGAAAACCCTTGCATCCTCTTTCGAGTCTTTTCCTCCACACAAGCTCTCTTTTGGAATTTTGTGGCTTCCCTTTTCTCTCTCTCTCTCTCTCTCTTTCTGTCGACCAATCTGATTGTCCCCACACATTTCATCCGCCATAAATCCACTAGCCCTCATCGGCCAAGCGATGGCGCGAGCATTATCAACAATTTCGTTGGATCAAGCTAATGTCCATGCAGAATTTATAGATAACCGTTATTTCCGCCCCTTGGGAGGGAGCTGGCCAGGATTTCGTCAGACGGGGTTAACAGCTGGGCGTGAAGCTTGTTCGCCCCTTGGAGGACGCTTAATTTATATACCTTTATCCCCTCCTCCTTCGAATATCTTTCAATTTCTCTGGCTTCCCTTTGATTGGTTTCGAACAAGCGGAATGAGAGAAAAGAAAAATGTGAACGTTCATCTAAAAAGACAGCAATAAAAAAAGAAGCTACAATAGTTGTTTGATTAAAAATTTTCTGCCTGCTTAATTGTCTTTTTTCTCTCTCTCTTTCTCTCCACGAGCTAATAATCAGGAAAGAATTTCACAATTACATCTGATTAATTTACATTTGATCCTAGTTAATAGTTAATCTATTAACGATCTATTTTTAAAATTTTTTTCTTGGCACTATTCTTTGATGGATCTCGTTCGAACAAGAGGAATGAGAATTGAGGAAAAATGTGCGGAATGTTGAGTTGTACAGAGATTAGATACAAGTGTGAAGGAAATTGCTTGATGTTAGTTATTTTCAAATGGCGCTCAGTCGATAACCTCCGATCGAAGATCACCAATGACCTCACACGATGTGATTAATGAAAAAAAGTGATGAAAGAAGCGTGTAATATGTGATTGTTCGAACAATAGATAAATCTCTTCCCTCTTTGTTCTCGATACTTTACTATTTTCATACGATTTTACGACTATTCATTCTCGCACATTCTCGATGTTAATAGCTCGATAAGCTGGTTTATAATTTATAATTGATAGTTGATTAATTATAAATCAACAAATTCATAACAATTTTACGAGATACGAGATGGTTAAAAATCCAATTTTTTTTTTCTTTTTCCTTTTTCATGCAATATCCATCTCGTTTGTCATAAAATTATCTTTATATAAATAAGAATCAGTTCATTTATTATATTAAGCGTTCTAATTTGATATGTCAAATAATACAACGATAATTTCACTTTCTTATTTCAATTACTATTGAATATATTAAATACTATTTTAAACAATCCGAGTATTTCTATTGCTAAAATGAATGTTATCTATTATCCATATATTTACTTTCTATTACAAATTTGTTTTGATTTTAATAAATAATTTATATTTTTTTAAATTAAATTAAAAAAAATAAGTTACAAATTTATTCTCATATTTGCTAAACTTTTTGCCATTTTTTTAATGATTCAAATTTCTGAAAACTCATAAATATGATATAAGACCACTATAAAAAAAAAATTATAAGATAAATGAAAACTTAAAAAAAAAAAAAAAAATCATACGAATGATAGATTCACTAACAAAATTAATTAAAATGCTCGTATTAAATAATCCATCCTTTTAATTAATCTTGCACTTATCTTAATAGCTTTTCAACAAATTAAACAAGATAAAATCGATAGATTTAATCAGATCTATGCGATTTCCGCTTATATCTCATTAACGATAGACCGCACGAATGATTCAGGAACAAAAGAGCCGACAGGGTCCATTTTGGCAAAATGGCAGCGATGTGTGGCGTCGTACTACACGCGGACTGCGCGAACGAAAAGGGCGACGGCCTGCGCCTAATTGCGGCCATATATTAAGTTTAATACCTGCTTTAGGTCGCCGCATGCGGCTTTACCATTCGTCGAGTAGACGAGGATATTGCGGAAGTTTGCCCGGCTGCGTCATCCCTTCCCTACCACCTCCACCAACCCCTCTCGCGTTCCCCCCATCGAGATTCTATCAATGTTACCCGGCATAGTGCTGTCCTCTAAGTTCGCCAACTTATACGAAATCCATGGAATCGAACTTTAAACGCTTCGATTGTGCTCGATCCGTTCTCTGTGAAGAAAAACTTATCTCTTGTATACTCCCAGACAGGAAAGTTAATACACGCCGGTTAAAATGGGACGAGTTCTCGAGACAGTACACGAAACTTGGAACGTGTAACCGAGTTTATACCGTTTCGGATAGATTCACTAATAGAGTCGGTAATTTCGAAGCTTCTTACGTTTCTTTAACCGAAGAAACTTGGCTTCTTCCTTTTCCTCGTTTTCGTTATCTTATCTTATCTTGTTTTTTATTTCGTTTTCAAAGAT